TTGATACAAAAATCAATGATCTATCCAGCCTTATATGAATGAAAAAGAAATTCGATGCTGGGACAACCAAAAATACTCTCACGAAAAAAAAGAAGACAAGTGTTTTGGAAAAGGTCACGTGAAAATGTGTCAAGAAATCATCGAATTTGTGATATAGCTGAGCAATGGGTCTAATGAAAAATATATGGTTCGATAGAGAAACCAATGTTCTATTTAACTGTATAAACATAGGAACGTTTCAGTACTTGGGTATGTAATAGTTATCAAGGAAATCAACACAGCAATGATGTCAAAACTGCTGAGAAAAAAATTCAAAGTAGGTTGCTTTTCGAAATTGAACAAATTTTTGGATAAGATGGAATCTAAATAAAATGAAAGCTATATAGTTTCATAGAGTAATTAATGCTCTATCTAACCATGTCAAAATAAGAAACTTCCTAGATTTAGCAGAAATACAGCAAACTAAACAAAACTATCGAAAATAACGTAATCAAGCTGTAGGTGATACGATTTCTCGAAAATCATTCGCTCTTAAAACTATTGATCAAATAATGTCATCACGACACTTTGCAAAAATAATAACACACTAATGTCATGCTTAGAACTGTTTATTGAATAATTAATTGTATAACTTTGTAGCGTGCGTGAAGGATTTTACGTACAATAAACTAAAGATAAGGTTTAGGGCAGGTTAATATGGTCTCGGTGGTAAGTATTTCTGTGAGTTTATTCGTTTCAATTTGTGCACACCTATAAAGGATGTTCACTAGGTTTTGTCTCGTTTATTTAATAAATTTATTGATTAAGCTGATCAAAACTTGTTAAACACCATTTGTACTTAATTAGGCAGCAATGGATGATTTAGTTAGATACGGCAAGGTTTTTCAATAATGCTTATGATCCATATCGAAAGCTGGTGCTAATCTACTTTTTTTAAAGCATACATCCCTCGGCATGAATGCATTTATGCGATCGAATATATCCTTCTTGCAAAGCAATTAGCATTGTAAAATAGTTATTCAGTTGACTTTCGTACAGATGCTTTTCAGTTTTCGAAACAAGTAAAAATAAGTATTCGAGAGATAGATCTCAAGAAACTGAAGGATTTCTATATAGTTTTATACGGTTTTCGGCGAAAACGTTTGTTGATAATTCAAACTGGATGTGCCCTTGAGTTGTCATCGTGAAACATGAGACTTCGAAGGTTCTTTCTTTGCTTTCGTTCCCTGACAGTTTTGAAAACTTATGATAGATAGTTGATGATCTAACAGCTTGTATTTAACATTGCAGCATTTTCCGATCATATTGGCTTGATTAAACCAGATTGCATAAAGAAAATTGGATACGTCACTCTTTCAAACCATTGATTGTCTAATATGACACTTACCGAGCACAAACTTCACTGAACTTAAAATATTAATATGTTACTGACAAGGGAACATTTACAGATGTCGGAACACTTTTCGGTCGGGAGTTGACACATTTTGTAGACCTTAGTGAGTTATGTCAACCCTTAAAAAAGTTCGTGCCCTTGGGTTGTTTTCGAGGAGATCGAGCGTTTTTACTTTTATAGATATTAGGGTTTTCTTATATGAAAACCATTATCTCAGCTAATATAAGTTCAGACAAATTGAGATTTTTCTCACATTAAAATGTTGTTAAATTGATAACTATGTTTTCGACATTGTTTGATGTCATACTCTCACATTATCTTACATATAACTACACCTGTATGTGAGAAACATCTCAATTGTCTGAACTTATGTTAGCTGAGATAATGGTTTTCATATAAGAAAACCCTAATATCTATATAAGTAAAAACGTTCGATCTCCTCAAAAACAACCTAAGGGCACGAACTTTTTTAAGGGTAGACATAACTCATTAAGGTCTACAAAATGTGTCAACTCCCTACTGAAAAACGTTCCGACACCTGGGAATGTTTCCTTATGAGTTGATTGCTCGTCAACTAATTAAATACTCGAACTATTTTCTATTTCTTCGTGTGTTGAATGAGGCTCATTGTCAACTATTGTTCATAAAACATCAATCGTTTATTCATCAAGACATCTTTATGGATGAGCTAGACAGATAGTTTTTATGACACTAAATATGTTTCGGTGCAATGGTTGAAACCAAATAGAGACGATGAGCGGTGAAAGTACTTTGTAGTTTGCGCCACGGTACAATTTACAATTACACAAACATTAGCATGCACTCGAAATAGAATATATCAAAATATCGAAGCCTTCTTTTCTTGGTAGGAAGCAGTCCACTGAAAAATCTTCGATTAATACTCATATGTTGTTGCTTAAAGTCCGATTATTGATTAGAAATTTTTTACTGGAAGCTTTTCTGGATGCTTTCATGATCCTATTCATATCCCAAGAAAATAGAAACAAAAAGTATTGCCATTAACAAAATGGTTTATGCTATGGAGTTGATGAAGTCAGCAAAAATTATACACGAGATGAGAACTAGATAATCAGGGTATGGGTGCGGGTGCGAGTGCGGGTGTGGGTGTGGGTGTGAGTGTATGAGTAGAATAACAAAGTCGACACCCCACCCATACTTATACCTATGCACACAGACCCACACGCACATCCAACTAAAAATAGCAAAAAAAACTTGAAAAGTAGAAAAAAAACAATAATACAAACTGTTTTAGCTGAACGTAATCCATGTTTCCATGTTGATTCAGTACCCGATGGTGGTACTAAAGAAATATCAGATGCTGACACTTGACCACGAAGAATTGGATTAAGAAAATATTGAGAGGTTCAAAAAAAGTAAGAAGTTTTTCTTTTGAGATAGACGTCGGTATAATTATCTTGAATTCCAAAGAAGAAAACAGAGTATGTTGTACTCTTTAAGTGCAAAAAGTACAACATATTTCTCTTTTAAAGAATTGTATCGTCAGATCTATCGAATTACGGAGTACTAACAACTCTATATCTTTCTTCAATTTAGTATTGAACTAACTCGTGAATTACCAACTTGTAAATATAGATTTTAATAAAACGAAAAAAGTCTTAAACTGTACATATCTATGATCTTTCGAATTCTCGGAATATCTAATTTTTATTTAGCAAACATCACACGAAAGTTTCCTGTTTTCAAAAGGTTCAATTGAATCACTCTTGTGAAACTTCAGATATTCATCATTTTTAATTCATAACCTCTTAGAAAAGCTGAACAATATATAAAAAGAAACATTTCGATATAAAGTCTGTTCAAGCATACAGTGGATACCAAAATTGATCAATCGAATTTATTTTCAATTTTTTTCTCTGTCATAACCGCTAAAAAAGAATTCAAATAGTAATTTGAGCTAATTATTCTAGAGAAGTGGAAATACTTTTCCTAAAACTTGTTGTATTATAGTTTTAAAGGAGATAATAAAGATGAAACATATTCTTGAAGGGGGAAGTCTGTTCTATAAAATGCCTATAGAGGCTATTTAAAAAGAAATTTCAATGACCGGAGTCAGGGACCAGCGGTGTGCAGACACGAGATGTTCTTTTAGTTTTGGCCACTACTGCATATAGGTCACATGATCACTACAAGGCTCTAAAATTTTCACTCAAAATGAATGTTTGTTTTTGGGAATTAATACGCTTTCAAACATAACTCTTATTTGACAATATGATAGAAAAAACAATTTTCTCAAATAGTTAGTATCTCGGGAAAAAATGTCTAAGTTTGAACGAAAACTTTTGGGGTGCTCTTGCTAGTCCTGAGAGCTATATATTCACATATATATGACTAAAATTTCAGATCTAAATTCAGTCATTTGAGTTTTTTCGAAATCTACTACTTACAATAAGACTGAAAACCGAGAAAACCTGTCCTCACTCAAGAAGAAGAATCTGAGTACAAATCCTTTTGTAGATTTTTCTAGCTCCGTCGAGTCTGATTTCTGTGCAAAATGTGAGCTCAACAGATTTTATTCAGTTTAAGCCTTATGTTTGTATCATGTTTTGTTTCTAGTTTTATCAATACTAACGTAAACATCAGCGACTCTCCTTAAAAGTCGATTTTATCGAATGAAGCAAGTTTAAAAGAATCAAGAAGATCTATATAAATCATTGTCAAGAGAAGCTAACCGAGCTGGAAATGTACAGTCAATTTGACGGCCAAAGAAAACAATGACTGCTATCAAAAGAGACAAATATACATTGAGTGAATAAAGTTGTTTTCGATCGCCAATCATTGATATTCTTAATTATACTCACTTTCTGTTCTGTGAAGTCATCGATGGCGGCAACATCGTTTATATCGCTTTCCTCTCTCTGTCTATATATGATGCTATGAACTATTGATATGCCGACTACAGTATAATTGCATCAACATCGGCGGACGTGCGAACACATTCAATGCCTATATAGATACATAGATACAAATACATGGATCAAATGAAGTTATGCTCATCTAAGAATGGCCAGTTGAATTATGGCTCGAGCTCTTTGTTTATATGTCAACACTTGATCCTGTCGTCAGCTGGTTTGACCTGACCATTCGTTTCAATCGTCTGATCGAACGTTCACTTTCACTAGGTTTTCACCAGTTCGATCATAATGAAAGCTGAACACATGGAACCCTTATGAATTGTGTTGAACATGAGTATTCACGTTTGGCTCCTTACGTCAGTAAGATCATCTTGCGTGATACATTCGCCACAGAACGTCTAGTAGCAAAATCTAGATATTTTTATCCTCTCTGCCTCAATGTGCGTCGACTAATGTTCTGCAAAAACGTTATATCATTTTTTCCATTCAGTCACCTTATAACTATATTCAAAGAGTCATGATTATTACACGAACTGATCATCGAATTTGGCCTTCATGGAGGTGATTACTATCCGGATATACTTGAAAAAATACCCCAAAACAATATTTCATTCCATACTATGCAACTCAATGTTATCGACGGTAAGACATAAACTAAAATTCTATATGATTTGTTTGCATATTTTCGTGTATATGCTTCTCCCTATGTCGGTATGGTTTTGATCATTTTACATTTTGATCTCGGAGATGGTCATGGAATATCTCTTGCTAATAGTGTATGTCTGGCATTATTAGTGCAACGATGGTCAAATTTAATTATGCTTATACAAGATGGTCGTTTACCATTACTTGAAGAACTCGATATTACAATTGAGCAACGATCTCCATATGATAAACAAGAAAACGATGATGATAGACTTCATTCAGTTAATCTTTTCCCATTGCGATCACTTCGTTTATGTGATGTTACTTTAAATAATGTACGTGATCTTCTTCTTTATGTACCATGGTTATCTTTTAAAGTCGATACACTTTTATTGGTTCGTATGCGAACAGATGATAATGACAGCATCACTAGTCTTCATCATCTTGTTGATTTTAAAAATTTACCAATTAATCATCTGTCTACTCAATTAGGTCGTTTTCAGCTTATTCTCAACGTTGTAGCCGATGATGCTTTTTGAAATCGTGCTCTTAATGTGTTTAACGTCGTTGATGACACTTGGCCATGGCCTCTTATGCATCATCAAACAGAATAATACATTGATAACCAAGATTCCGCACTAATTGACGTCTTGTACATGAGATATCCCATCTCGTGATACTATTATCAACGACGACGACTTAACGATCAAAACAGTGTACGTCATCTTCGTTGGCCTTTCCATGGTGTACCACCAAGACGTATGTGTTGGGCTTCAGAAAACGAAGATGAAATGAGCAGTACCAAAGCAGCTACAAATGATGTATATACATTTTTGAATACTTCCGTCAATGTCAATTCACTTATTTGGTTCATTAGCTGAAATCCTGCAAGTTTATCAAGAGAAACAACAAATCATCTCAGAATTAATCAATTCTATGCCATGTTTATCTACAAATATTTAGAAATGTGGTTTTTCACGAGTCCCAGATTCTCAGTTAGCTTCAAGAGAAAGAATCTTCAGCAGAGTCCTAGAAAAAAACGTCTCAGATTTTGACTTTGCATCAAATTGCTGGAAATATGAACGAAAAAAGGTATGTTACGAATCTTCATGAATCTGCGATTTATCAACAATAGTTTAGAATATCATACGACTAGAGATGTACAAAGTCAGCATTTGTCAATCCGGGTCCTAGTCACTTGTTGAAAGATGAACATGTTTGAAAAAACATCGTAGGACGTTTATTTTTTGGAAATTTGTAAGACAATTATCCGAGTACAAACTAGAAAAATCTAGTTTTTTGTCGAGTAGAGAATTCAATTTTTTTCGAAAAATGTTATATCACAGGAGTAGATTATTTGAAACTGATCCTGGTCTTAATGTTGTACGTCTCTACACGCGATATCTTTCACCACTATCTAATTAAAACGATTCAATTATTCAAGAAATTTTCAAACTATAGTTGAAACAAGTTTGTTTTTTGATTTTCATTGTATTGTTGATGATTTTACTGTTTCAAACTATTGGTATATAAATATGTCTTAATAGGGTTCAATCTTTGACTCATCTTCGACAAAAACCAAGCATCTTTCCTTCATGGCATAAAATGCATGATGTCACTCTCGAATTCACCAATCAATACCTATTGCCTTTTCATTGAGTTAGAATTCTGGATAATCTCTTGCAAAGGGCTTGTTATCTCACAAGTTTGACTGCTCATTGGTCGGAGGTGCTCAATGTAGCCAAGAATAATATTAGAACGTATCCTACTGTCAAACGTCTTCACCTAATGTTATCATTCGGACGATATCGGCATGATGATGTTGATGTCAATGTAATGGTGCTACTAGATCCTTCCGTGATTGCTGATCTATTTCCCTGTCTACATCAGCTAAGCACAGCTGATGATTTACCTCGTGGTCGTATTCGTTTGATATCACTGAATCCTCTTGTTTCACTCGTATTTTCTCTAATTGCACATTTTTCGTCTCATTTAACATTTCTTTATCTTAAAAAATGAAACATCGTTGTCAAGACTTGTTGCTTTTTCTGAAGATAAACAGAAATATGTTTGTGATGTTTTTAAAATGAAAATATCATTTGCTACTCGCATTACAATCACTGATGGTGATAGATTGAGAATTTGGTTGTGATAAATGGGATGTGGGAATGTGAGTGTTGGTATGGATGTATAATCAATCATACTCCCACACCCTCAAGATACCATGTTGATAAAAATTGCAAAAAGAAGCCAAATGTGTACTCTGCACATCTAAAAGCCGATCCAATTAATGAATTACAAAGGAAAAGAAGTAAATTACAAATATTTATTTGAATGTTCAATGAATGCCATAAACTCGTTGGTCATTATGGATGTATCAACTACATAATACTTCGGACAATGGCAACTCGAGTTTTAAAAAGTTCAGCCGCTAGTCGTTTTAGATTTTCGCGTGCCTTTTCGCAACCATCTTCGTGTTCGTCAAATTGTTCCTTAATTTCTACTAAGATACCCACCAAAACTGCGTCTGCTTCAACAATGCAATCTAATAATTCACGAATTCTTCGCCTCACATCTGTATCGGTCGAAATATTGCCGGACGAGACAATAAAAGCAGGATTATCTTGCTTTATGTACAAGGTATCAATATTCGATATGTCGGGGTTAAGACGTCTTGCTTCATTTATGCATTGTTGTGCTTCAGCTGAGGCAACTCTAGCTTGAGCCAAATAGAACTTTACGGCCATGTCAGCATAAGAAGTATCAAAACACAAATCGAAGGTACCCATATTCAGTGCTTGTCCGAATGCCTCGCGAGCGACAACGATAACTTGATGAGCTTTTTCGAGGAATGATATGACACGAGTTAAAATGTGGTGATTGTTAAGAAGAGTGACCAAATGTGCTTTTTCCTTTTTTAGATTCTGTTCTATTGCAAATTCGTCCGGATATACAGGCGTAGCACCAGAAAAAAAACGCTCGAATAAACCCTCTAGCTCTTGTTTGGTGTTGGTATACTTTTCATAGGCATTTTGGCATTGATGCAAATACATTTGCGCTATATGAATTTTTTGTTTGAGAAGTGACAAACGTTGTTCTTCTTCTTTACACTTTTCAGACTCTCGCAACCATATAATCTCTTGCTGATCCAAACGTTGTTTTAGCTTACCTCGAATTTGATACCAAAGATGTCTGACTCCATGTCCCTTCAACGCGAGCAAACTTTGATATTTTTTATCAACTGTTGCGCTTAACAAATCGATATTTTCTTGCATGTGACAAGCCTGTTTTTCGCAAACTGCCAACTGGGATCTTGCTTCTGGCAATGCAGCTTCGCTCCATTGCGTATCAAATAAACTATCGAATAGAGCATGAAATTTTTTGTTCGCTTCGTGTATATGTTGTTGAAGTAACATGACGAAATTTTGTTTCTTGCCCAATAAGTAATGGATATGGTCAACGTTTTTCGTCAAAATAAATTGATAAACCTCAAATTCTAAGTAACGATGTTGTTATTAAATCCTTTACTTTCTTCATCATCAGAGGACCGTATTTATATGTGTGTTTTTTTACTGTTTTGTATTTCAATTCACGACATTTTACGATCGGATAGTGGCAATACTCATTAAAATTGATCTCTACATGAAACACAGAAATCAATCTATTCGCATGTGTCGACATGCGAATTGCCAAATCAATTTGTTTTTTTTCTTGAAAGGAGAAAAGAATAAGCACTTTGGTATACGCAGAAAAGACCGAAACAAAAAAGGTCAACACAAAAAATGTCGAAAAAGAATGATGGAAAGATAAAAATATCGAACGTATAAAAATGTTTAAAAAGCTCGAAGATGGTTTAAATATACAATTTACTATTGAATTCTATTCTATTGGTATCTAGCATTACATTTAACGATATTCTTGATATTTTTTCATTCTATAATGCGATTATTACAATAAAACAAACGAAAAGTGTAAACAAATAAAAGAATCATCTGAAGAATTGATTATTTAATATCGATATTTCAGTGAGTTTTTATAGTAGACTTCATAGTAATTTATTAAATGTCAATCACTAATGATAATCCATATTTTCTTGTGTTTAATAATGGCAAGCCTTTACTAGTTTTAAATGGTACTATCTTAAAAAAACAAAGAAACAAAAACAAAAAACTATTGAGTTCGTCAAGCGAGTGAATGTAGTATGTACCGTACACACCAACATTTAGGACATTGTATTAAGAATCACTGACAATCATAATTATTCGCCATATGGAGAAAATGTGCTATTAAAAGTGGTCGTACGGAAATACAGCGTGTAACGAAAGAAACAACTGCAATCATAAAGATGTATGAAGAAGAAATTGTTGCATCTCAAATAACACCACACATAAGCAATTAAGCCATTAGCAAGTGAATTACGTAACAACACTATATCATTAGTACACTTCTATGTATATTATAAATTTCATTTTAAAATCAGGTTTGGTATATGTTAGATAAAAAATGACACCGATGCTACCTGAGCCCTATCAAACAACTCACAATGACGAATTATTTTTAGCTCGTGACATGTTAAGCCGAAGAAGAAAAAGAATGCCTATGTTTTGTACTAAACCACAGCTAGAGTTATTGTTCGTTAGTACAGCTGCGATGGTGAACGACAAATTTAGTGCGACTACACCATTTTTTGATTGAATTCATTCAATACATGTTGTTAAATTCGATGCTAATATTAAATGTTTTCTCTTAGGCTTACTATGTTTTTATTTCGTCGTAGACTTTTCATGTCTATTCGGTATTTTGCCCAATCGTAAAAATATATTCGTTTATAAATATTTGAAGACGTAAAAAGTTTAGTTGTACAATTAAATCGAGCATTTGAACCGACTCATATTCTAACTGACGACGAACCTAACATCATTGGAGGGATATCGACAGAAGTAAGCATTACTTAAAAGATAAAGTAACAGTGTTTCGTTCTATGTTAAGTTCCCCGAAATGTAATTCCTAGCGATTGCCATTTTTATCTGACTCAAGGGGTTTATAG